TGGTTCAAACTCACTAGCTGCTCTTCTAAAACCTTAAACAGAGTCATTATGAGTCAGAAACAACTTGATGGCATTTAACAACAACAGAACGAGCTGACACTCATGGAGGCATTCTTTGACTGTAGAATGCAAATACTTAACCATTGTTATTTGTTGGTGTTGTTGTTAAGTGCCATTGAGTTGAGTCCGACCCGTAGTGACCCTTTATAGGGTTTCCAAGGAGCAGCTGGTGAGCTTGTACCATTGTTATTTAGACCCTAAAAAATCCTTTGAATTTCACAGATTGAAGTTGGCTCATACATATGAAGTGTCATCATATTGACATAGTTTGATTTGAAATTCAAGTGGAAATTCTTACATATTTCTGAAAAGTCAGTTTTCCCCTGCATGAATGTTTTTTTAAAGGCCTTTTAAAACTTGGTGGTGAACAGTAATATTTTTTTGTAAACTAGTCTATAAAAATGAGTTGTAATTTGTTCCTTTTCACAACAGGGCATCCGCAGGACCTGTTGATACTGGCCCAGAATATCAGCAAGAGCTGGAGAAGGAAATGTTTAAGCTTAAGCAAATGTATGGTAAAGCAGATATGAATACCTTCCCTAACTTCACATTTGAAGGCAAGTCTTTTTCATTTCAGACTTATTCCTGTTGGTGATTACTTTAAATGAATATTTTTGCTTAATGATTTATTTGGGTTTAAAGGATTAAATAGAGGACAAATGCAGATGAAGTTACTAGTGACATGTGCACAGGAGGCTCTTGAATTAAGTGTTTACCACTAGTTTAATACTGGAAATCTGGAGTCAGACTCCCTGATCGCGGATTCAGATACTATCATTTATTATCTGTGGTCTTAGATGATTACCTATTACCTGTTTGCTCATATGACATTTAGGGAGAATTCTGTCTGCCTCATATGGCTATTGTAAATAAATATTTAACATGTGTAAAGTCAATTAATAGAGATCCTGGAGTAGTAAGTACTGACTAAATTTTTTACTTAGATTTTCATATAGATGTTACAAAGAAATGTTTGTTTTACTTCTGAAAAGTCATATTTTTTAGAATACATGTATTGTTACATAGATACTTAAATATGTCATTGTTATATAGATGCTTAAAAACTAAATATTTTAACGATCAGAAGATTGATTTATTAAATATTGAAGAGTTCTCAGTAATACATATTATTACAGTATGTCTAAGTATGCACCTCTTTTCTTTTCCCCACCTAGATCCCAAATTTGAAGTCATTGAGAAACCCCAGTCCTGATGCAGTACATAAAATTGATACTACAATTTCTTATGAATTCATTGTATAATTAAACTGTGATCGGAATAAACATATTGCATAATTGTCAAGTGTTCTTTTGTTCATTCTAACTCCAAATGAATTATTTAATGATAGTGAGTATCTGCTTAAGTATATTGAGTTCTGATTTAGGGGTTTTTTTAAATCCTTTTGATTATGAAGCAGATGGAAACTTTCAACAAACTGGAAACAACTTGCCTGTAACCCTGCCAAATATATATTTTTTTAATGTTTTATTGTGAATTATGTGATAGTTTATATGGGAGAACATTAGCTTTATATTTTTCCTATCGTATATCGTTTCATTGCCATATTACAATCCCCTGCATGCATCATCTACCAACCAAAGTATACCCTGCAAGCCTGCCCCTGTGGTAAGCACACAGCCCCTCTGCCTTCATCTCTTGCATCACTGCTTTTCTGGGTAGGGCCTGCACTCTGCTCTTCTCCCTTGATGGTCTCAGGGACCTCCACTCCTGGACTGCAAAGTCAATCACTCCCCTCCTTTTGCTACAAAATATCTACCTTAACATTCCAACCCTCACAGTCAGTCCTGATAACAATTATGCACTGTTGTATCACAAGAGACCTATCCCCATCTCCTTTCATCAGCCCCACCCAGACAGATTGTATACTACTCAGTGGAGATTCTACCATCCTCCGCGCCCTTTGGATCTAATCTCCCTCTTGAAAGCCTGCCATATATTTTTAATGTGCAAAAGTATTCTTTTTGTCCTTTTAGAACATCCCCTTACCAGTGGAGACTTATTGTGATCTCCTGTTACTTAGAAGTGTTTGTTGTGGAGGGGTCTTCTACCTTCTCCAAGAATATGAAGAAATATCATGAGTAATTACTACTGAAAAGAAATGTTACCTGAATTCTCTGCTTATCTTACACCCTTACAGCAAGATCCTTGGTTTTTGAAACTTGTCTGCGTGTTATTCAGGGGTCTTTAGAGAAACCGACCTATAAATTATATATATTATGTTGTACAAATGTGTTGACTTATACAGAGAAGTTTTGAGGCGCCCATGATTGTGGCGTCCGTCAAGTCCAGAATCTGTAGCTCAGGCAATAGGCTGGTGATTCCGGCAGTCTTGTGTCCCAAAATCTATAGGTTAGGCATTGGAGGGATTCTGACAAGATGTCTGGAGGCGGAACGCTACCTAGGGAGCCTCCTTTTTGCTCTTCAGCCTTGAACTGATTGGATGAGGCTTCCCCTCATTATGAAGGGTAATCTGCCAAATTATTTAATTACATGTAAATAGTTCATGGAGTCTTGGTGTGGTGCTGTATGATAAACACTGGACCACAAGATTGAAGTTCCTCAGAAACGCTATACAGGGTTGCTGTGAGTTGGAACCAACTCAGCAGCACTCAACAACAACAAATATCTCATAACAACATCTATCCTAGTATTTGAGCAAACAGCTAAGCACTGTAACCTAGTCAAGTTGGCACATAAAATTTACCACCATACCTGTCATTTCTACTCTGTACTTCCTTCTCAAATGGGCATTTGCTCACCTTGGATGACTCAACTTTTCTTCCTCAGCCCCACAGTCACCACTCCAGGAAGACTTAGATGTAGCCACTCCTCACTTCACAGGAAATCCTGGGACACCTATAATACTTTATCTGTCCCTCATTTTCCTCATGTAAAGGTACTCACTTTATCCATCTGTGAGGGTAAAATGGCTCATGTAAAGTTACTTAGTATGCTTGAATATTAATTTGTCTTTGCGGTACTACAAATGCTGCATGAAGGCAGAAGTCTTGTCTTATTCGCGTTGTATTACCAGCATGTGAATAACTAGTGTTGAATCAATGGTTTTTCTGGAAGGTTTAACTTAAGGAAAGACAGTAAGTAAAAGACAATATATATACAGTTAATCTTCCAGTTCTCACATTCCCTGCCCTATTTCATAATCTCCAGATATGTACAAAACTCAAAGGGCTAACACTTGGCTGAGATTCTTTCCTCCTAAAGAAAAGGGAATTCCTATATTTATCCCAACACATTTTTAGAATACCTCTAACACACCTCTGGTAAACTACAAGAGACATTTCACCGTGCATGGTAAGTTTAGTAATTTTACTTTGCCAGGTAGAAGAGGGAGTAGTGATATGATGTCAGTGGATGATGAAAGAAGTAAGGTCTGCTAGACTCCCATCTACCGAATTGATGGGATCTTGCATTACTTTATTGCTGCATAAGAAATTATCCCCAAACATGGTGGCTTAACAATTAATATCTCAGTTTCTGTGGTCAAGAATCTGGCAGAGAACCTCACTGCATAGTTCAGGTTCTTTCATGAAGTTACAGATAAAATGTTGGTCAGGGCTGAAGTCAAGTATTAATGGACTGAAAGATAACTTAGAAGGCTCATCCAAGTGCCTGACAAGTTAGTACTGGTTCTTCTTCCACTTGGTACCTTTTCAAGTAGACACCTTGTCTTAGGCCTGGTTTTCTAGAGAAGTAGAATCAGTGATATATATACAAGCTTATTATCAAGGAAATGGCTTACAATTGCAGCCCCAGGTCTTCATGGGAAGAGTGTGAGAGCCTTTCTCACATGTCCATTATATTGGAAGCAGGCCACACCCCCGAGAAGTAGCCTGTCAATTGATTGACTGCTCATAGCTACTCATAAAATTAACTGTATTTTAGGTTTTTGCCAGCTATAATGCTGGAAGATGAGCCTCTCAGGTTGGTAGGCACTCAAAATGCAACGTGCCTCCTCAAAATTGTGTTGACTGTGAGGACACAAATAGAATAAAGCCCTTGCTACCTTGATTAGCTGATAGGACACAACTCAAAATGAAGAGAAACAGCTATAAAAATCCATTAATAACCAGAACATAGAATGTACAAAGTTAAGTCTTGGAAAATTGAAAATTATCAAAAATGAAATGGAACGTATAAACTTCAATATCCTAGGCATTAGTGAGCTGAAATGGACTGGTACTGGTCTATGCCAGAAATGACCAATTGAGGAATGGATTTGCAATCATCAAAAAGAACATATCAAAAAAGGCAGTTTATCTTATAGTCAGTCCAGGAACAGAGGACCCTAGAACCATCAAGGGAGTAGAGCATATGGGAACCTATCCAGAGATGCAGTGACACCAGAGATGGAGGCAGAGATGATAACATGAGAGAACAGCTGAGGACTCTAGACTTAGAGAAAGGCTGTGTGCTGGCAACCAGGAGGCAGGCTTGCAGAATGTGCCCTTTGGTTGTTTAAATGATTATATATTCCTGAGTGTTTTGGTGTACATATAAAAAAAAACAGGAATAGAAGCAAATACTGTTGAATGATGATGTGTGGAGGGGATTGTAATCATTGCAATGAAATGAAATACGATAGGATGAGTGTAAAACTGAGGTTCTCCCATGTAAACTATCACTCAATTAAAAATAAAAACTTAAAAAAAAAAAATCAAGATCAGTCATGAAGTACAATGCTGTTTGTGATAGGATAATATCCATACATCTACAAGGAAGAGCAGTACTACCACTATTAATCAAATTTACACACCAACCACCAAAGTCAGTGATGATGAAACTGAAGAATTCTACCAACTTCTTCAGTCTGAAATTGATCAAACATGCAATCAAAATGTACTGATAATTACTGGCAACTGGGATGCCAAGGTTGGAAAGAAAGGAAGGGTCAATAGTTGGAAAATATGGCTGTGATGATAGAAATGATACTGGAGATCGCTTAATAGAATTTGCAAGACCAATGACTCCTTCATTGTAAACACCTAAACAACAGAAAAAACAACTATATACATGGACCTCACCAGATGAAATACACAGAAATCAAATTGACTACATCTGTGGAAAGAGATGGTGGAAAAGTTTCATATCAGCCAAAACAAGGCCAAGGGCAGACTGGAACAGATCGTCAATTGCTTATATGTAAATTCAGCCTGAAGCTGAAGAAAATTCAAATGAGTCCGTGAGAGTCAAGAAATGACTGAATACATCCCACCTGAATTTAGAGATAATCTGAAGAACAGATTTGATGCATTCAATAGTAAAGACTGAAGACCAGAAGAGTTGTGGGATGACATCAAGAACATATAGGAAAAAAAGCAAAAGGTTGATGAGAAGACAATTTTAGGTATGCTAAAGTAAATAGAAGAAGTGAGGAAGTAACAAGACCTGAACAGAAAATTTCATAGGTCAGCTGGAGAAGACAAAGTCAAATATTACAATGAAATGTGCAAAGACCTGGAGTTAGAAAACAAAAAGGGAAGAACATGCTCAGCATTTCTCAAGCTGAAGAAACTGAAGAAAAAAATTCAAAGCTTGACTTGTGATGTTGAAGGATTCTATGGGCAAAATACTGAATGACAATGAATAAAGACCGTAGAATTGATGCATTTGAGTCGTAGTGTTAGAGGAGAATATTAAAGGTATTGTTGTTAAGTACTGTGGAGTCGGTTCTGACTCATAGTGACCCTGCACAGGGTTTCCGAGGCTGTAAATCTTTATGGGAGCAGAAAGCTTCATCTTTCTCCTGCAGAATGGCTGGTAGTTTCAAACTGCCAGCCTTCAGGTTAGCAGCCCAATTCATAACCACTATACTACCAGAGCTCTTTCATTAAAGGTACTACAGACTGCCAAAAGAACAAACAAGTATGTGCTGGAAGGAGTACATCCAGAATGCTCCTTGGAAGCCAGGATGGCCAGACTTCGTCTCTCAGACTTCGAACATATTGTCAGGAGGGACCAGTCAGTGGCGAAGACTATGTTTGGTGAAGTGGAGGGCCAAAGAAATAGAGGAAGACCCCCCCACACACACACACACAGTGAGATGGATTGGCACAATGGGTTCAAACATAGCAATGATTGTGAGATTGGCACAGGACCAGGCAGTGTTTTGTTCTGTTGTGCATAGTGTCACTATGAGTCAGTACCAACTCGATGGCACCTAAGAACAACGAA